AGAAAGGTACCTAATGAATGAAGCTACATAACGGTACCTAATGAATGACGCTAGAGAAAGGAAGGAGAGTGATTTCCTGTATAGTTAACATTGGTGTGCCTGTTATTGTAAGTTTATCCTCTCTAACGTTCGTGTAAATAACTCAGTTCACTTTATTCCTACTGATTTACCTGTTATTGTAAATGATTTTCACACAGCTGAATTACTTAGCTGATTTAATTGACTCATTTCCATTGTATCTTACAGCAAGGAATTAAACATCGCAAGGACTCCAATGGAAACAAGTCACTTTGACTAACTTTTTTCGGGGTTATCCTGGAGGGTAATTTACACTATGTATGATAATTGTACTCAGGTACCTGTGCCTCAATAAACTTGCTACGTTCAACGTAACTTGGATGAACAAGGAAGATGAAGTGAACTATCAACTTCTTCTTTTATATTCTCAATTTTTTCTCGTAAACAATGTTTGCATTAAATTCAGTAGGTTTTCTTTATTTTTCGGTTTTATTGTTGTGAATCTGGAGATTCTTCTCCCTTCTTTTCCTCCTCCTCCTTCCAAATCAAAAATTTTAGGAACGTCTCACTCTGTACATTTTTCGAAATCTGATGCCTCGCTTGTGTGTGACGAATTCTGAAGATGAAGACTTTGACACATGTAGAATATCTGGGTATCTTTATTATAGACGTTTCGCCATCCAGTGGCTTTATCAATACAGGTTCAAGAACATAATGGGAAGACTGTAGAACTATGTACGGAAGATGAGGTAATCAGTCCCTCAGCCTTGGAGTTGAAGAGCACCGTAGTCTTCAACTTCAATGTCCTTGATAAAGCCACTAGACGCCGAAACGTCTACAAGATACCCAGATGTTGCACATGTGTCTAATTCTTGAGCTTGTCTGTATATCATACATGTGCACTCAGACCGGGCGGTGACCTCCCCCCCCCCAAACCCTCTCCAGATAAACTCCGGGTAAACCTGTCAACATGCAACAATATTCTAGGCGTAAAGTACAGCTAATCTGAGGGGTATTATCACTGTTGTGATGTCTGTTGTCTTGGAAGTTTTCGTAAATTCTTCCTATTTTCATAATCTTTGGTATTATTCCTTGGTCTTGTAGATGTTAATTTCGTTGTACGAGGTGACAAGCCGTCGTGGTAGTGTTCGAATAGCTTCGACAGCTAGGGTTTGTTGGTGGTAGTGTTCCATTAGCTATGACAGATAGGGTCTGTTGTGGTAGTGTTCCACTAGCTATGACAGCTAGGGTCTGTTGTGGTAATGTTCCACTAGCTATGACAGCTAGGGTCTGTTGTGGTAGTGTTCCACTAGCTACGACAGCTAGGATCTATTGTGGTAGTGTTCCACTATGACAGCTAGGGTCTGTTGTGGTAGTGTTCCACTAGCTATGACAGATAGGGTCTGTTGTGGTAGTGTTCCACTAGCTATGACAGATAGGGTCTGTTGTGGTAGTGTTCCACTAGCTATGACAGCTAGGGTCTGTTGTGGTAGTGTTCCACTAGCTACGACAGCTAGGATCTATTGTGGTAGTGTTCCACTATGACAGCTAGGGTCTGTTGTGGTAGTGTTCCACTAGCTTCAACAGTTATGGTCTGTCGTGGTAGTGCTCCACTAGATATGACAGCTAGGGTTTGTCTTGGTATTGTTCCACTAGCTATGACAGCTAGGGTCTGTCGTGGTAGTGCTCCACTAGCTATGACAGCTAGGGTCTGTCGTGGTAGTGTTCCACTAGCTATGACAGCTACGGTCTGTCGTGGTAGTGTTGCACTAGCTGTGACTGCTAGGATCCTCCAACCACTACTTAGGCAAACTTTTCATAAATCTTGTAAATAACCTGCGCAGCTCCCTCTTGAATATTTCTGCAAGCAATATTAGTGCCATTGCTCCCCAAGATCGTTGCCATTACTCTCTCCGGGATTTTTAACGTAGCTGTGGCTGCCATTTCTAGAGCCTTTGGAAGTGATATTTTGCATTTCAAATATAATATTGTACGAGTCTGGCTGCAGCATCGGGGATATGAGGCCTTTGACATTTTTTCAAGTATGCAACTGGTGAATATTATAGTTGACTGCATTTGCAAGTGCAACACAGATAAGCTGAAACTGCTGTGACACATTTGCAAATAAGAATCAGTTTATTGAGTAGGGAGGAAGGGGTATTTTGATGGTGGTATTGGTGGCGGCTCTGAGGTTGTGGTGGTGGTGGGGTTGGGGGAGACCAGAGGCACATGCTTGGCAGAGGTTGCTTGCTGCTGGTGGCCACGATGCTGGCTACAAGTGTTTCCTCCCTGACTCACTAAATACCTGTAAAGTCAACTCAATAGCTGCTAGACGTTGTCCATTTTTGTACCGCTCCTCCAAGACACTTATATACACCCACCTCTTATCTCTTACACCCCGTATATCTATCATTATATATATATATATAGTAATAATGAATATGCTAAACTGGCGAGTTAGGCCAAAAAACGGTGTTTTCTACCGAATAAGCAGAGTTAATTTTTTAGGTAAAAAATCTGCAAAAATCAATCTGAACATAATGAAAAAATATATAATTGATTTTAAGTAATATTAATTAAATTTGAACTGACCTATATTATATTATTATATATATATATATATATATATATATATATATATATATATATATATATATATATATATATATATATATATAAATAACAACCACTGTGAGAAAGTAGGAAGTATAATAGTTCCTTGATAATGTAAGAAATCAAGAAAGCGCTTGGAATTTCGCTATTTTTTTCACAGTGGTTGTTTTGCATATTCTGAAATCACCTGTTTAGTGTGATCTTATTGCATATATATAATATATATATATATATATATATATATATATATATATATATATATATATATATATATATATCCTTTGCTTTATTTATCTTCCTGCTTATTCATTTTTCTGTCGCGTCTCTCTCTCACCACTACCACACCTACTAGATGTGTTTTATTTATAGCAAACTGCTCCAGCCTTAGCTACGTGTCACTGCCCCCCCAGTCCTCAACACCTGCAACACCCTCCTCAACTCCAATAACCTCTCCAACACCCTCCCCAACACCTGCAACACCTCCCCTTCCAACTCACTACAAGAGATCGTTAATACTATCTGCGTACATGACACCACTGTGTCATGTATACAATTTTATCCTCATTTGGTCCAGCCACGGAGATGGTGCGTCCCAAGAAGACGTCTCGCCAGCCAGTGGCGAAACAATAGAAGTGTACACATAAGAACAAAAGAAAGAACACTGCAGCAGGTCTACTGGCCCATACGAGGCAAGTCCAAGTCTCCTACCGGCCAATGCCCCAACCTAGTCAGGTCATTCACTTAAGGAAGGAGCACGGCATCTGACCTAGTAGCACAAGCTAGCCAGGTCCAACTCACACCCACCCGCACCCACTCATTATTATATTAATGAGGAGCACTAAACCCATAGGTGTCATACAATGCCTCGGGAAATGATAGGCATTTAGCCTTGATTCAAGGAACTGAAGCACTGATCCAATTCCCTAGATCAAGAGCCCCTCACCAGCATCAGGGAACCTCCCTTCGGAAGATAAATATATACAGGAATCGGTAGATGAGGTAGTAAGTCCTAAGTGAAGGGCACAGTAGTCCCAAGTGATAGTAACTCCAGATCTGCTGTGGCTGTCGTAGCTGATAAATCTTTAATGCAAGAGGTTATTAACGGTTTTTTTTCTTTTTACGATTACAGATCACCAGGGGACTGCCCAATATGACCCCCCCCCCAGTACCTCCAACACCAGATGTTGTAACTGACTTAGACACGTGATTAAACACTAAGACATATTTATCAGGAAATGTTTCGGTCCTGGGACCCTGATTACTACTAACATACAGAGGTTTAAAAGGCAGTGTATAGATACTGTCACGTGATCACATTGTCTACCTGTCATCCCAACATGGCGTTCCTCAGGTCACCATACCTCACCTCTGCCACTCTTGTCAACCTCTGTATGTCAGAAGTGATCAAGGTCCCACGACCCAGACGTTTTCCTAGTGTTTACTCACGTCTCTCTCTAAACCAGTTTATCGTATGTATTTCCAAGGTTTATGCCATTATATGGAAATCACCGTCACCACAACCAGTCCTCTTAATTACCAGCATGATAATTTATTCTATTCTAACAAATTTTGTAAGTTGTTCAGAGATCGAGCCCCATACTTTCATTATTTGGTTCCCATACTTCCGTTATTTGGATCCCAATCCCCCATGGGGGTATCCATACCCCCGGTTAAGAACATTGTGTATTAATGAAATGTTTGACGTCATCTGAAGTGCTTTACTGAAGTCTCTCAGCTGAGGCCGACAAGGCATCGCCTTGTAGACTAAAGCTTTGTCATGTACAGGGTGATTCACTCGTAAGAGGCCCCAGGTTGGTACTCCAGTAGCTGTAACCGTCTTGTTTTTGTATATTATGTCTGTAGTAAACGATAAATCGATGCCTCCTAATCCATAATTAGGGGACTTCTTACAAGTAGGAAGCCCCGGAGTTATCGTTTACTACAGACAGTATACAAACGAGACGATTGCAACTACGGGAGTAGGAGCTCAGGGCCTCCTACGAGTGAAACACCTGTATATAACACGTAAACAGATGGCTATGCTTCGCAGCACCACACTGAGAGACCATGTAGGTATGAGACAATACCGATATTTTTACCGATGGCGATATTTTTCTATAGGTTTTCCTTTTATAAAAAGTTGTAATGACTTTGTTCGATATATAAGGGAATGTTTGTTGTAGAATGGTTATTAAATAACACAGGAAGGTTAAATATTTAATAACTTAGTTTCTCTGAGATGATGATGTTTTTACTCATTGCTTTGGTCTGTTGTGTAGTTACGAGATGTCAAAGGTACTTGTCTATAGTGTTTTGTTTTTGGGGTGTGTCAGTACATCACTGATCATGGACTCTTTCTTTCATTTCAGGACAAGATCCGTCTGCTTATGGAAGACATAGAGTACGAGAGGGAACTCAGGCAAAGGGTGAGTACTATGGGTGTTTGTACTCAGCCTAGGGCTGCTGTGTTTCTTTGTCAATACTCAGCCCAAAGCTGTTGTTTGTGTTGTCAATACTCAGCCTAATGGCTACAAATAATTGGTTCAAAAGACTCACAATAATACATTTATTAAAGCAAGTTTAAATCCTGGGAACTTGATTACTTCAAACATACCAACGATAAACAAAGATCTATAAAGAGAGAGCTGTAAGAGTCAAGTAATGACCTGATAATTTCATAGTAACTTGCTAGTAGATCACTGTGTCAATTCCATTTTATTCAAGTATCAAGATAATTGTGACAAAGAAGAGTTTCAGGATGGCAATGGGCAGCCCCCTCAGTACTGTCTGCCATCTCCTTGTGGAGAGCCTAGACACCGAGGAATTCAGAACCCACATACCCACCACTGTTTCCTGGCTAAGATACCTTGACGATATCTTGGTGTTCCGTCCCAGACGTCTTAATATCCAGGACCTCCAACAAAATCAACACAGACGAGTCATACTTAGAGTTCACTTAGAACTTGAGAAAGAGAAAAGACTCACTTTCTTTGACACTCTCCTGTGCAGGAGACCCAAGAGCTACAACCTTCCCTTCATGGTGTATAAGAAAGCTTCCAGCAAAGATGATCATATACACTTCTATTCATACCACAACAAGCACACTAAAAGAGGTGTCCTGACTGGTTTCTTCTAGAGAGCCGTTTGCATCTCCAGCCCTTGTCTTCTTCAGGAGTGTACTGACATAATACAAACCTTCATGCATCTTCACTTTCCATTTTGCTTCATCCTGGTCTGCAGGCTCAAGCCATTCTCACGAAAACCCTCATGGAATATTCCACTATGCAGTTCTCAGTACTTACAATGCAAGATGTTGCCAGGAACATCCACCAGGTGCTTCTTAGCATCAACATCAACATCATCCATCAAGGACCTCACTAAAAACAAGGAAGACCTATACCCTTTTCTTTCACAGTACGCAACTGCACCATTCACTGTTGGACGGTGTATTAGGATATACACGAGAGAGACAGGGAGAAGCCTATTCATCTTAGTGAACATAAATGCACCTACATGCAGGACAACTTAGGCAACGTCTTTGTCCTCCACTGGAACACCACGGGACATCTCATGAACTGGAAAGATTTGTAACTCATCACCACAGAACTCGACCTTACATGTCGAAAGTACCTTAAAGGCTCGTTAATCACTGCCACAACACCGTGGAAAAAAATCTGGGAACTATACAGCATACTGAGAACTCTGGAACACCTGACACTCAACCAAGACCACCTCAGGACGCGGCCATCCAGTGAGTATATACACTACTCACTCACTCCAGATGTGTAAACATCAGGTTGCGGCCATCCAGGGAGTATACACACTACTCACTGTGTAAACATCGTCATGTCATGGCCGTCCAGCGAATATACACACTACTCACTCGTGCTGTGTAAACATCGTCGGGACGCAGCTGTCCAGCGAGTATACACATTACTCACTCGCGCTGTGTAAACATCGTCAGGTTGTTACCTGGGTTTTACACCTCACTTTTTTTCCCTACATATACCGTTGTTCTTTGCCCTTTATAAGTCAGAAATTATCAGAGTTCCAGGACCGATTTCTTTCTAAATAACTAGAAAGATTACTTGTGAGATGACTGACTAGAAAGGGAAACAGAAAGATGAATAGAAAAAAAAGAAGGAAGTCAAAGGTGTGAAGGAAGATGCAAAAAGAAGAGAAGGATGACAGAAAAAAATAGAGGAATGCAGGGAAAAAATCCAAAAGGCAGATACGAGAATAAGATAGACAGGACAGGGAGAGAGAGAGAGAGAGAGAGAGAGAGAGAGAGAGAGAGAGAGAGAGAGAGAGAGAGAGAAGAGAGAGAGAGAGAGAGGAGGAAAGCACAAAAAGGTAGAAGGAAAAGCAGGAAGGTAAACAGGCAGGAACAAAGACAATGAAGTGGCAAGGAAAACTAGGAAGTTAAAATTATCATTGTGAGTCAACAACTACATGTGTAGTGAACCAGCTGCCAACCCTCCACCACACTCTCCAACACTCCACCACACTCTCCAACACTCCACCACACTCTCCAACACTCCACCACACTCTCCAACACTCCACCACTCTCCAACACTCCACCACACTCTCCAACACTCCACCACACTCTCCAACCCTCCACCACACTCTCCAACCCTCCACCACACTCTCCAACCCTCCACCACACTCTCCAACACTCCACCACACTCTCCAACACTCCACCACACTCTCCAACACTCCACCACACTCTCCAACACTCCACCACACTCTCCAACACTCCACCACACTCTCCAACACTCCACCACACTCTCCAACACTCCACCACACTCTCCAACACTCCACCACACTCTCCAACACTCCACCACACTCTCCAACACTCCACCACACTCTCCAACACTCCACCACACTCTCCAACACTCCACCACACTCTCCAACACTCCACCACACTCTCCAACACTCCACCACACTCTCCAACACTCCACCACACTCTCCAACACTCCACCACACTCTCCAACACTCCACCACACTCTCCAACACTCCTCCACACTCTCCAACACTCCTCCACACACTCCTCACACATTCAGTATATAAACATTCTATACATATTCTACAAATATTTATATATATATATATATATATATATATATATATATATATATATATATATATATATATATATATATATATATGTCGTGCCGAATAGGCAGAACTTGCTATCTTGGCTTAAATAGCAACGCTCACCTTGCCATATAGGACAAGTGAAATTTTGTGTATGCAATAATTTCGTCAAATTTATTCTGAACCTAATGAAAAAAATATATTTCATTGTTTGTTTAGTATTAAATTAGTGTAAACAAATCTAAAATATATTTAGTTGGGTTAAGCTAAAATAAATTGCACTTGTTATAATAAGGTTAGGTAAGTTTTCTAAGATTCTTTTGGTGCAAATTTAAATTTTTTTACATTAACATTAATGAAAAAAATATATCTTTAAACGTATAAGAGAAAATTTTAGAAAGGACTTAATTTTAAATGAGTTCTTGCTAATTGACCAGTTTTACATATTCGGCACGACATATATATATATATATATATATATATATATATATATATATATATATATATATATATATATATATATATATATATATATATAAAATATATATATATAATAATCAAACCTTAAATGAAATGTTTATAGAATATGTATAGAATGTTTATATGCTGAATATGTGTGAGGAGAGTGTTGGAGGGTTGGAGAGTGTGTTGGAGTGTTAATGCAAAGTTTAAGAATTTTGTACCAAAAGCACCTTAGAAAACTTACCTAACCTTATTATAAAATCACAATTTAATTTAGGCTAATCCAACTAAATATATTTATATGTAAGTTTACAATAATTTAATAATAAACACAATTAAATATATGTTTCTCGTTAGGTTCACAATGATTTTTGCGAAATTATTGCAAACACAAATTTTCGCTTGCCTTATTCGGCAAGAAGAGCGTTACTATTTAAGCCAAAATCGCAAGTTTGACCTATTCATCACGACATATATATTACTATTACTAGTATTACTATTAGTACTGCTACTACTACTAGTACTACTACTACATACTAATACTACGAGTATTGCTATTACTACTCCTGTCGCTATTACTACTACGCTACGTGTCTAAGAGTGTTCGTATCCACAGGTTGAACGAGAGAAGGCTGATCTCAGTGTTCAGGTGATCCAGCTCTCAGAACGAATTGAAGAGGTCGAAGCCGGCGCCGATGGACAGGTACGAACACATGTTTACTTTCTGTACGATGTGTAATTTCTGATTTCCTGGGAGAATACAATCATACGTAAATTATTATAATCATAACTGAGCTCTAAAGTCACAAGGGTCATACAGCTTTATTGCTTACATGAGGCAGGTGTGTGGTGGTGGTGCATGAGGCAGGTGTGTGGTGGTGGTGCATGTGGCAGGTGTGTGGTGGTGGTGCATGAGGCAGGTGTGTGGTGGTGGTGCATGAGGCAGGTGTGTGGTGGTGGTGCATGAGGCAGGTGTGTGGTGGTGGTGCATGAGGCCGGTGTGGGGTGGTGGTGCATGAGGCAGGTGTGGTGGTGGTGGTGCATGTGGCAGGTGTGTGGTGGTGGTGCATGAGGCAGGTGTGTGGTGGTGGTGCATGTGGCAGGTGTGTGGTGGTGGTGCACGAGGCAGGTGTGTGGTGGTGGTGCATGAGGCAGGTGTGTGGTGGTAGTGCATGAGGCAGGTGTGGGATGGTAGTGCATGAGGCAGGTGTGTGGTGGTGGTGCATGTGGCAGGTGTGTGGTGTTGGTGCATGAGGCAGGTGTGTGGTGGTGGTGCATGAGGCAGGTGTGTGGTGGTGGTGCATGTGGCAGGTGTGTGGTGGTGGTGCATGAGGCAGGTGTGTGGTGGTGGTGGTGCATGAGGCAGGTGTGGGGTGGTGGTGGTGGTGCATGAGGCAGGCGTGGGGTGGTGGTGGTGCATGAGGCAGGTGTGGGGTGGTGGTGGTGCATGAGGCAGGTGTGGGGTGGTGGTGGTGCATGAGGCAGGTGTGGGGTGGTGGTGGTACATGAGACATGTGTGGGGTGGTGGTGGTACATGAGACATGTGTGGGGTGGTGGTGGTACGGGAGACAGGTGTGTCTGCTAGTGGTACAGGAGACAGGTGTGCCTGCTAGTAGTACAGGAGACAGGTGTGGCTGCTAGTGGTACAGGAGGCAGGTGCGGCTGCTAGTGGTACAGGAGGCAGGTGTGGCTGCTAGTGATACAGGAGACAGGTGTGGCTGCTAGTGGTACAGGAGGTAGGTGTGGCTGCTAGTGGTACAGGAGGCAGATGTGGCTGCTAGTGGTACAGGAGGCAGATGTGGCTGCTAGTGGTACAGGAGGCAGATGTGGCTGCTAGTGGTACAGGAGGCAGGTGTGGCTGCTAGTGGTACAGGAGGCAGGTATGACTGCTATTGGTACAGGAGGCAGGTGTGGCTGCTATTGGTACAGGAGGCAGGTGTGGCTGCTAGTGGTACAGGAGGCAGGTATGACTGCTAGTGGTACAGGAGGCAGGTATGACTGCTAGTGGTACAGGAGGCAGGTGTGGCTGCTAGTGGTACAGGAGACAGGTGTGGCTGTTAGTGGTACAGGAGGCAGGTATGACTGCTAGTGGTACAGGAGGCAGGTGTGGCTGCTAGTGGTACAGGAGGCAGGTTTGGCTGCTAGTGGTACAGGAGACAGGTGTGGCTGCTAGTGGTACAGGAGGCAGGTATGACTGCTAGTGGTACAGGATGCAGGTGTGGCTGCTAGTGGTACAGGAGGCAGGTATGACTGCTAGTGGTACAGGAGGCAGGTGTGGCTGCTAGTGGTACAGGAGGCAGGTATGACTGCTAGTGGTACAGGAGGCAGGTGTGGCTGCTAGTGGTACAGGAGGCAGGTATGACTGCTAGTGGTACAGGAGGCAGGTGTGGCTGCTAGTGGTACAGGAGGCAGGTATGACTGCTAGTGGTACAGGAGGCAGGTATGACTGCTAGTGGTACAGGAGGCAGGTGTGGCTGCTAGTGGTACAGGAGGCAGGTATGACTGCTAGTGGTACAGGAGGCAGGTGTGGCTGCTAGTGGTACAGGAGGCAGGTATGACTGCTAGTGGTACAGGAGGCAGGCGTGGCTGCTAGTGGTACAGGAGGCAGGTGTGGCTGCTAGTGGTACAGGAGACAGGCGTGGGTGTTGGCGTTACACTAGTTTATCAGTAAGGTATAAACATGTTCACCCTCCCTAACAACATAACGACCTACCATCCTACTTTCGTCAACCATAACCGGACAACATCCCCGTAAAAAATACACATGTTTATATCAGAAAACAGAGTGAAGTCTTCACCCATCAGAGTCCCCAGTGTCAGTGTGTGTGTGGGATGTCAGAACTGACTTCTGACCCTCAGTAAAAGACCACCTAACGAGGGGTTTGGAAGTTTGGCGAATTATCCTGAATAGTTTGGCCGGGTGAGTCGCATGTAACTTATTCTCTCGTTGAGACCTTTGTCATCAGTGAATTGTTAAGGGGCGGGAAACGCGCACAGGTGGGCAGCTACCAAATAACAAAATCGAAAATTTCTCGTTAGTGGGAGGAAAGTTTGATACCTGATACCAGGATGTGGTCTGAAAGAGAGAGAGAGAGAGAGAGAGAGAGAGAGAGAGAGAGAGAGAGAGAGAGAGAGAGAGAGAGAGAATAAGCATAATGGTGAAGGACCAAGCAGATTGTGGATGCTGTCTCCTCATGCACCGATATTTTTCCCACATTTCCAACACACAAACCACGCCTCACGTAAGCGAAATGTCGCTATTAATAAAACTTCCACCTCATCTCCCTCGCTCTCCTGTTACTATCGCTGTCATCGCCTTCCCACAGATCGAAATCAACAAGAAGAGAGACGCGGAGCTGGCTAAGCTGCGCAAGCTGTTGGAGGACGTGCACCTGGAGAGTGAGCAGACCCACCACATGCTGAAGAAGAAACACCAGGAGGCTGTCGTTGACTTCCAAGACCAGATCGACATCCTGACCAAGGTTAAAGTAAAGTAAGTATCACCCATCAATAGATCGACATTCTCACCAAGGTTAAAGTGAGTATGACCCAACAAATCGTAATAACGCAGTTACCAACAAACCAGGGAACGGGTGCGGTTTGAACTCATGGCAACTGAGTCCTAAAACTCACAGGCCAGTGAGTTTACCACTGGGCCAACTGGCTAGAACAAGATTCATCCAGTTAAGTATATTTCTATACACAACAGGGAGGTTAGCATGGGCCACCACTGTGACCACAAGTGCTGGTTTTACACAACGCTGGTGTGGGATTCGTCAGTAGTAACTTGTGTTTGTATTCAGACACTGAATATTTTAACCAGCACCTTCACTGTTTTTAACAATGAGAATAATCTACTTAGGCCCCAGAATGACTATGTCGATCACTTTCTCCTTTTTTTTAACGAGAAAGTGTCTGATCCCCATATTATGTACCGATGTCAGTGGATAATTCCACGACTTCATTTTGAAATAAGAAGGAATTAAGTGTGAAGGTGAAGTCTCTGTTTATCAACGTTCCGCTGGAAGATATATTAAAAATTTCTCAGTAGAGAACATCAACACTTTTAATGTCAGTTTCAGAAAGTCACTTATCTCACGAGACTTTGCGTATTTTGTAATTTTCATTTTAAAGGAGTTTCTCTCTCAGACACATGACTATGATATGGGAGTCTCAATGTCACCTGCGTTCTCCAACCCTAACATGGAATATTCTGAGAATTCTCCAGCAAATTTAAGGAACTGACATGACCTAGATACGTTGACGACGTCCTAACAACGTGAGATTAGAAATGAGGTGATTTAAGCATCTCTTCTGTCGTGTATATTACATCATGTCTGGTGCTTTAAGAGGCGCCTGAGTTTTCCCTGTTTCCTAATATCATGTTTATTTTCCCACTATAATCTACCTGGTCCATAATTACTATCGCATCTGCTTAGTCTATTTCGTAAGGTGAAGTCCAGGATCTTTCCTTAATTCATGGTATAACTTAACACATCTTTGAGGACTATCCCTGGGCCAAGGTACATACGTACGTACTCTGATGTACGTAAGAACGTACGTACCTGGTGCCAGAGTTAGCAGGTTCAAGCCTACTCTGGTCTGAGTTTAATGTTTATAAATGTTTGTGTATGTGTGTGTATGTACCCACCTATATGTGGTTGCAGGTGTCGATTCCCAGCTCCTGGTCCCGCATCTTCGCTAGTGCCACCAATCTATCGGCGTGTGTGTGTGTGTGTGTGTGTGTGTGTGTGTGTGTGTGTGTGTGTGTGTGTGTGTGTGTGTGTGTGTGTGTGTGAATGTGTCTACGTGTAATTTAAACACCCTTATGCAAAGTCACAACAGATAAGGCCATTAATGCTACCACTGACCCCCGACTCTCAATCACAGGGTGGAGAAGGAAAAGGCAAAGTTCCAGCAGGAAGTCTTTGAGCTGACGGAGCACCTGGAGAAGTCGACGCTGGAGGCCGCTGGCTACCACAAGACCATTAAGAGCCTCAACATCACCATCCAAGAACTCAACGTCAGGATTGAGGAGCTCAACCGCACCATCGTCGATATTACCTCCTCCAAGCAGCGCCTCAGTGTGGTAGGTGGAGAGGGTGAGGGATACTGGGAGAGTGTCAGTGTGGTAGGTGGAGAGGGTGAGGGATACTGTGAGTGTCAGTGTGGTAGGTGGAGAGGGTGAGGGATACTGTGAGAGTGTCAGTGTGGTAGGTGGAGATGGTGAGGGATACTGTGAGAGTGTCAGTGTGGTAGGTGGAGAGGGTGAGGGATACTGGGAGAGTGTCAGTGTGGTAGGTGGAGATGGTGAGGGATACTGTGAGAGTGTCAGTGTGGTAGGTGGAGATGGTGAGGGATACTGTGAGAGTGTCAGTGTGGTAGGTGGAGAGGGTGAGGGATACTGTGAGAGTGTCAGTGTGGTAGGTGGAGAGGGTGAGGGATACTGGGAGAGTGTCAGTGTGGTAGGTGGAGAGGGTGAGGGATACTGGGAGAGTGTCAGTGTGGTAGGTGGAGAGGGTAAGGGATACTGGGAGTGTCAGTGTGGTAGGTGGAGAGGGTGAGGGATACTGGGAGAGTGTCAGTGTGGTAGGTGGAGAGGGTGAGGGATACTGTGAGAGTGTCAGTGTGGTAGGTGGAGAGGGTGAGGGATACTGGGAGAGTGTCAGTGTGGTAGGTGGAGAGGGTGAGGGATACTTTGAGAGTGTCAGTGTGGTAGGTGGAGAGGGTGAGGGATACTGTGAGAGTGTCAGTGTGGAAAGGTGTAGAGGCTGAGGGATACTGTGAGAGTGTCAGTGTGGTAGGTGGAGATGGTGAGGGATACTGGGAGAGTGTCAGTGTGGTAGGTGGAGAGGGTGAGGGATACTGGGAGAGTGTCAGTGTGGTAGGTGGAGAGGGTGAGGGATACTGTGAGTGTCAGTATGGTAGGTGGAGAGGGTGAGGCATACTGGGAGTGTGTCAGTGTGGTAGGTGGAGAGGGTGAGGGATACTGGGAGAGTGTCAGTGTGGTAGGTGGAGAGGGTGAGGGATACTGGGAGAGTGTCAGTGTGGTAGGTGGAGAGGGTGAGGGATACTGTGAGAGTGTCAGTGTGGGCGGTGGAGAGGGTGAGGGATACTGTGAAAGTGTCAGTGTGGTAGGTGGAGAGGGTGAGGGATACTGGGAGAGTGTCAGTGTGGTAGGTGGAGAGGGTGAGGGATACTGTGAGAATGTCAGTGTGGTAGGTGGAGAGGGTGAGGGATACTGGGAGTGTGTCAGTGTGGTAGGTGGAGAGGGTGAGAGATACTGGGAGAGTGTCAGTGTGGTAGGTGGAGAGAGGGTGAGGGATACGGTGAGAGTGTCAGTGTGGTAGGTGGAGAGGGTGAGGGATACTGGGAGAGGGTCAGTGTGGTAGGTGGAGAGGGTGAGGGATACTGGGAGAGTGTCAGTGTGGTAGGTGGAGAGGGTGAGGGATACTGAGAGAGTGTCAGTGTGGTAGGTGGAGAGGGTGAGGGATACTGTGAGTGTGTCAGTGTGGTAGGTGGAGAGGGTGAGGGATACTGGGAGAGTGTCAGTGTGGTAGGTGGAGAGGGTGAGGGATACTGGGAGAGTGTCAGTGTGGTAGGTGGAGAGGGTGAGGGATACTGGGAGAGTGTCAGTGTGGTAGGTGGAGAGGGTGAGGGATACTGTGAGTGTGTCAGTGTGGTAGGTGGAGAGGGTGAAGGATACTGGGAGAGGTGTCAGTGTGGTAGGTGGAGAGGGTGAGGGATACTGGGAGTGTGTCAGTGTGGTAGGTGGAGAGGGTGATGGATACTGGGAGTGTGTCAGTGTGGTAGGTGGAGAGGGTGAGGGATACTGTGAGTGTGTCAGTGTGGTAGGTGGAGAGGGTGAGGGATACTGGGAGAGTGTCAGTGTGGTAGGTGGAGAGGGTGAGGGATACTGGGAGAGTGTCAGTGTGGTAGGTGGAGAGGGTGAGGGATACTGGGAGAGTGTCAGTGTGGTAGGTGGAGAGGGTGAGGGATACTGGGAGAGTGTCAGTGTGGTAGGTGGAGAGGGTGAGGGATGCTGGGAGAGTGTCAGTGTGGTAGGTGGAGAGGGTGAGGGATACTGTGAGTGTCAGTGTGGTAGGTGGAGAGGGTGAGGGATACTGGGAGAGTGTCAGTGTGGTAGGTGGAGAGGGTGAGGGATACTGGGAGAGTGTCAGTGTGGTAGGTGGAGAGGGTGAGGGATACTGGGAGAGTGTCAGTGTGGTAGGTGGAGAGGGTGAGGGATACTGTGAGAGTGTCAGTGTGGTAGGTGGAGAGGGTGAGGGATACTGGGAGAGTGTCAGTGTGGTAGGTGGAGAGGGTGAGGGATACTGGGAGAGTGTCAGTGTGGTAGGTGGAGAGGGTGAGGGATACTGGGAGTGTCAGTGTGGTAGATGGAGAGGGTGAGGGATACTGGGAGAGTGTCAGTGTGGTAGGTGGAGAGGGTGAGGGATACTGGGAGAGTGTCACTGTGGTAGGGTGGAGAGGGTGAGGGATACTGTGAGAGTGTCAGTGTGGTAGGTGGAGAGGGTGAGGGATACTGTGAGAGTGTCAGTGTGGTAGGTGGAGAGGGTGAGGGATACTGTGAGAGTGTCAGTGTGGTAGGTGGAGAGGGTGAGGGATACTGTGAGAGTGTCAGTGTGGTAGGTGGAGAGCGTGAGGGATACTGGGAGAGTGTCAGTGTGGTAGGTGGAGAGGGTGAGGGATACTGTGAGTGTGTCAGTGTGGTAGGTGGAGAGGGTGAGGGATACTGGGAGAGTGTCAGTGTGGTAGGTGGAGAGGGTGAGGGATGCTGGAGAGTGTCAGTGTGGTAGGTGGAGAGGGTGAGGGATTACTGGGAGAGTGTCAGTGTGGTAGGTGGAGAGGGTGAGGGATACTGGGAGGGTGTCAGTGTGGTAGGTGGAGAGGGTGAGGGATACTGTGAGTGTGTCAGTGTGGTAGGTGGAGAGGGTGAAGGATACTGGGAGAGCGTCAGTGTGGTAAGTGGAGAGGGTGAGGGATACTGGGAGTGTGTCAGTGTGAGGTAGGTGGGAGTGGGTGAGGGATACTGGGAGTGTGTCAGTGTGGTAGGTGGAGAGGGTGAGGGATACTGGGAGAGTGTCAGTGTGGTAGGTGGAGAGGGTGCGGGATACTGGGAGAGTGTCAGTGTGGTAGGTGGAGAGGGTGAGGGATACTGGGAGAGTGTCAGTGTGGTAGGTGGAGAGGGTGAGGGATACTGGAGAGTGTCACGTGTGGTAGGTGGTGAGGGTGAGGGATACTGGTGAGTGTGTCAGTGTGGTAGGTGGAGAGGGTGAGGGATACTGTAAGTGTGTCAGTGTGGTAGGTGGAGAGGGTGAGGGATACTGTAAGTGTGTCAGTGTGGTAGGTGGAGAGGGTGAGGGATACTGTGAGTGTGTCAGTGTGGTAGGTGGAGAGGGTGAGGGATACTGTGAGTGTGTCAGTGTGGTAGGTGGAGAGGGTGAGGGATACTGTAAGTGTGTCAGTGTGGTAGGTGGAGAGGGTGAGTGGATACTGTAAGTGTGTCAGTGTGGTAGGTGGAGAGGGTGAGGGATACTGTGAGTGTGTCAGTGTTGTAGGTGGAGAGGGTGAGGGATACTGTGAGTGTGTCACTGTGGTAGGTGGAGAGGGTGAGGGATACTGTAAGTGTGTCAGTGTGGTAGGTGGAGAGGGTGAGGGATACTGTAAGTGTGTCAGTGTGGTAGGTGGAGAGGGTGAGGGATACTGTGAGTGTGTCAGTGTGGTAGGTGGAGAGGGTGAGGGATACTGGGAAGTGTGTCAGTGTGGTAGGTGGAGAGGGTGAGGGATACTGTAAGTGTGTCAGTGTGGTAGGTGGAGAGGGTGAGGGATACTGTAAGTGTGTCAGTGTGGTAGGTGGAGAGGGTGAGGGATACTGTAAGTGTGTCAGTGTGGTAGTGGAGAGGGTGAGGGATACTGTAAGTGTGTCAGTGTGGTAGGTGGAGAGGGTGAGGGATACTGTGAGTGTCAGTGGGGTAGGTGGAGAGGGTGAGGGATACTGTGAGTGTCAGTGTGGTAGGTGGAGAGGGTGAGGGATACTGTAAGTGTGTCAGTGGGTTATGTGAGGTCGTTGGGGATATTTATTTAGTATTAGTTCTGGGGATTATCTTCATCAGGATTTAAATCCATTAAGAAACACATACGAGAGTAAATGTAAATGCGTACTAAAGTAAAAACACAAGTTTACAAGATTTACCAGCAGCAACAGCCTGGTTGACCAGGCAGGCAGCAGATGAGCTTGCCTTGCTTTTTCCTTGGGTAGCACTGAAAAGGAGTTGGCACATATTTTTGTTAGGGGGTTTGAGAATGACCTACCTAGCATGGGCCAGTAGGCCTGCTGCAGTGTTCCTCCTCTCTTATGTTCTTATGCACCTCTCCTGATCATGAGACAGAAAATTCATCGGGTCTGACAGTGTAAGGGCAGTGTAGGGCAGCGTCTCCCAGGGTGGCTGCTGTCTGCTACCCCACGAAATACAACATTTTTATTCCTATTTAACAAAATTGGATCACTCAACAGTGCGCTGCTACCCATTTACTCTGTTTTATAGGAGAGTAGGAACGTCACTTGTGTTCCCGTCTCACATTCCGTCACACAGGATGGCTCATACTCGTGCAATCCGAAGTCTCCAAGCCTGAGGTGGGAGACTTCGGGAGGGCAATGAGGATATCGGCGGGTGAAAGAGGATCATGGAGGGAAAGGGGCAGGGGGCAGGGTGCTGTGGGCATTGGAGCCAGTTCTCAACAACTCTTGTAATTAAAGTGTATTTTATGGATTTATTACGTTACTAATATTAGAGAAAATTCAAGGTGAAGTATCTGGGTTTTTAAGCAGGAAGAGGAGGATGCATTGTTACATGTACAGGATACATAGTTACATCTGCTGGATACATGGTTACAGGTACAGGATACATAGCTAAATGTACAGGATAAAATATAATCACAAATATAGTCTGAAATATGTCAAATTAGTAAAGATACATGGTAATGGTGCCTTGCAGGAGAACGTCGAGCTCAGCAAGTCAGTGCAAGACTTGAAGGTGAAGATAGAAGAGGTGAACTATACTCTGAGGACCAGCGGCAACACTCTCGAAGAGTACAAGAGGAAGTTCGATGCTGAGGAAGCTGTGAGTAGCCTGAGAGAGAGAGAGAGAGAGAGAGAGAGAGAGAGAGAGAGAGAGAGAATCACCTAGTTTTAAGAAATAGTCGACATTTGTCTCCTACCAACACCCACAGCATCTTCATCTCGCATCACCCACAGCAACCTCATCTCTCCATCACCCACAGCATTCTTATCTCTCCCTTATCACCCACAGCAGCTTCGTCTCTCATACCCCACAGCATCCTCATCTCTCCCTTATCACTCACGACATTCTCATCTCTCCCTCATCACCACAGCATCCCCATATCTCCCTTATCACCCACAGCATTCTTGTCTATCCCTCATCGCCCACAACATCCTCAGCCTTCCCTCATCACCCACAGCATCATTACCCACAGCATTCTTATCTCTCCCTTACCACCCACAGCGTCGACGTAAGCTTGAGAGTGAGATCAACTCACTCACTAATGAACTCAACGCACTCAAGCGCTCATACGAAGAGGAGTCGGAGCTCCGCATCGACATCGAGCGCAGGTTGAGCAGCGAATCTGCGCTCGTCCTCCAATACAAGAGCAAGTACGAGCTGGAGTGCCGCGTACACATCGAAGACGTCGAGGAGATCAAGTAAGCCAGAGCATGTTAACCCACTAGTAAGTGTTGTCGAAGTCTGTCTTGAAGGCGTCGAGATCGAGTAAGCCAGAGCATGTTAAGTATTGAACCTCTAGTTTACTTTGTCGAAGTTCCTTCTTGAAGACTTCGAGGGAGATCGAGTAAGCCTAACTTCAGCCAGGGCATGTTAACACTCAGGTTTGCGTTCTCGAAGTCCTTCTTCAAGACAACTAAGAGACGAGGGAAGTGAAGGATGTCACTCCGGTCCTACAATACAAGGGCAGGTCTTTCTTAAAAATCTGGAGGACATAAAGCCAAGGAAATTAATCGGTTCCTCTTAACACTCTAGATTAACTTTTCGAGAATATACAGGCGATTAAGTAGGCGAGGCTTAGGTTAGGTAAGATTCGTCAGGAAACAGGATAAGTGTTTCCTGACGAGGGTCTTAGTTTTGCCAGTAAGAGCCTCTGAATCTTCCTTGCTCAAGTGGTCGAGATCGTGATGAGGGGGTGGAGGAATTTAGGTAAGTAATGTCAGCTAAGTTCTCTTACTCTGTCTTCCTAATTTAAGTCGAAGAATGTGTATGGAGGCAGGAATGATGGTATTTACAGTACGACTGAAGCAAGAGGTCATCTAGTACTCTGTACCAAGGTGTAGAGTGTGTATGGAGGCAGGGATGATGGTATTTACAGTACGACTGAAGCAAGAGGTCATCTAGTACTCTGTACCAAGGTGTAGAGCGTGTATGGAGGCAGGAATGATGGTATTTACAGTACGACTGAAGCAAGAGGTCATCTAGTACTCTGTACCAAGGTGCAGAGTGTGTATGGAGGCAGGGATGATGGTATTTACAGTACGACTGAAGCAAGAGGTCATCTAGTACTCTGTACCAAGGTGTAGAGTGTGTATGGAGGCAGGGATGATGGTATTTACAGTACGACTGAAGCAAGAGGTCATCTAGTACTCTGTACCAAGGTGTAGAGTGTGTATGGAGGCAGGGATGATGGTATTTACAGTACGACTGAAGCAAGAGGTCATCTAGTACTCTGTACCAAGGTGTAGAGTGTGTATGGAGGCAGGGATGATGGTATTTACAGTACGACTGAAGCAAGAGGTCATCTAGTACTCTGTACCAAGGTGTAGAGCGTGTATGGAGGCAGGGATGATGGTATTTACAGTACGACTGAAGCAAGAGGCCATCTAGTACTCTGTAGCAAGGTGTAGAGTGTGTATGGAGGCAGGGATGATGGTATTTACAGTACGACTGAAGCAAGAGGTCATCTAGTACTCTGTACCAAGGTGTAGAGTGTGTATGGAGGCAGGGATGATGGTATTTACAGTACGACTGAAGCAAGAGGTCATCTAACTCTTGCTGCAGTCGTACTGCCAACACCTTATAACAAGTCACATCACACATAGGAAAACACAGAGAGACAGACGGACACACACACACACTAGAACCATCCTAACCATTTTAAGGTAACACAAAAGGGATCTATCAACGCAGATTCAAATGTCAAGGTTGTCCACACTTCTACGTCTGTATCATGAAGTTTGTGTGTAGATTGTTAACAGCTGTGTTTGCCTGCGTGTATGTGTGTAGATTGTTAACAGGTGTGTGTTTGTTGCAGGAAGAAGACGCAAGTAAGGATCGTAGAACTGGAAGAACATATCACCAGCCTGAACCAGAAGGTCAACGCCCTTGAGAAACAGAAGAGTCGCCTCTCACAGGAGATCGAAATCATGATTCTCGACCTCGAGAAGGTGAGTACATTCAGTCTGGGGATGAAGGCAAGGTAACTGCATCCACTCTGGGGGTGAAGGCAAGGTAACTGCATCCACTCTGGGGGTGAAGGCAAGGTAACTGCATCCACTCTGGGGGTGAAGGCAAGGTAACTGCATCCACTCTGGGGGTGAAGGCAAGGTAACTGCATCCACTCTGGGGGTGAAGGCAAGGTAACTGCATCCACTCTGGGGGTGAAGGCAAGGTAACTGCATCCACTCTGGGGGTGAAGGCAAGGTAACTGCATCCACTCTGGGGGTGAAGGCAAGGTAACTGCATCCACTCTGGGGGTGAAGGCAAGGTAACTGCATCCACTCTGGGGGTGAAGGCAAGGTAACTGCATCCACTCTGGGGGTGAAGGCAAGGTAACTGCATCCACTCTGGGGGTGAAGGCAAGTTAACTGCATCCACTCTGGGGGTGAAGGCAAGGTAACTGCATCCACTCTGGGGGTGAAGGCAAGGTAACTGCATCCACTCTGGGGGTGAAGGCAAGGTAACTGCATCCACTCTGGGGGTGAAGGCAAGGTAACTGCATCCACTCTGGGGGTGAAGGCAAGGTAACTGCATCCACTCTGGGGGTGAAGGCAAGGTAACTGCATCCACTCTGGGGGTGAAGGCAAGGTAACTGCATCCACTCTGGGGGTGAAGGCAAGGTAACTGCATCCACTCTGGGGTGAAGGCAAGGTAACTGCATCCACTCTGGGGGTGAAGGCAAGGTAACTGCATCCACTCTGGGGGTGAAGGCAAGGTAACTGCATCCACTCTGGGGGTGAAGGCAAGGTAACTGCATCCACTCTGGGGGTGAAGGCAAGGTAACTGCATCCACTCTGGGGGTGAAGGCAAGGTAACTGCATCCACTCTGGGGGTGAAGGCAAGGTAACTGCATCCACTCTGGGGGTGAAGGCAAGGTAACTGCATCCACTCTGGGGGTGAAGGCAAGGTAACTGCATCCACTCTGGGGGTGAAGGCAAGGTAACTGCATCCACTCTGGGGTGAAGGCAAGGTAACTGCATCCACTCTGGGGGTGAAGGCAAGGTAACTGCATCCACTCTGGGGTGAAGGCAAGGTAACTGCATCCACTCTGGGGGTGAAGGCAAGGTAACTGCATCCACTCTGGGGTGAAGGCAAGGTAACTGCATCCACTCTGGGGGTGAAGGCAAGGTAACTGCATCCACTCTGGGGTGAAGGCAAAGTAACTGCATCCACTCTGGGGGTGAAGGCAAGGTAACTGCATCCACTCTGGGGTGAAGGCAAGGTAACTGCATCCACTCTGGGGTGAAGGCAAGGTAACTGCATCCACTCTGGGGTGAAGGCAAGGTAACTGCATCCACTCTGGGGTGAAGGCAAGGTAACTGCATCCACTCTGGGGTGAAGGCAAGGTAACTGCATCCACTCTGGGGGTGAAGGCAAGGTAACTGCATCCACTCTGGGGTGAAGGCAAGGTAACTGCATCCCGTCCTAGAAGTCAGGTCAGTCCTGGTAATCACGTCTCGCTTGCATGTCAGGCCCTGCCTTTCCTCGGAGACGTTTCTCTCACCTCTGTTCACCTCAGGTGAAGACAATACCTGATTCAGAGTAACGATATCCAGCCTGGAAGATGTGGGGTAAACAGGTTTGAATCAAGACAAGTTAGGATCACCTCAAACCTTTCACCAATATCACAGTAATGTTCTTGAAGGCATCATGAACACTCACAAAGACTTGTTGCAGGTGATGAGTCGTCAGTTTGTTGACCATCAACTGATTCATTACTTCAGCTGTGTTGATGAAGAATTAATCACATGTGCAACATCTGGGTATCTTTATTAGTAGACATTTCGCCATCCAGTGGTTTCATCAAGACAAGGATATAATGTGAAGACTGTAGAACTATAAACAAAAGATGAGGTAATTAGTCCCTCAGTCTTGGAGCTGGTAAAGAGCACCAGAGTTGTATTAATATTTATACACAGCAGTGTTCTGCAGAACGCAGGTCACAGTAACCTGGCTGCAACAATTCACAATCATGTGACTAGTTAGATGGTCAACTGGATGAAGCTTCGGTCCACAATCGAGCCTTGATAGCGGTCCACCATTTAAGGTGTAAATAATTTGATATCACAAGGACCCCAATGGAAATAAGTCACTTTGACATATATTGGTTCTCCTAGGTAATCTACAAATATGCTGTTATGTATGTTAAATTATGTATCCGTGTTTATGTGTACCTGTACCTGAATAAACGTGTTCACCATAGTCCGAAAGTTGGTCCAGTTTATTCTCTAATTCGTGGGTTAACTGTGTGGTTCTTCAGCCAGAGTGCCGTGACTTGGGTACTGACTGGGGCATTGACTGTGCTTATCCCGTAGGCCAACGCCAACCACCGCGAGGTCAAGACGCGACTGGAGACGGTGGACCGCGAATACAAGAGTCTACTGGTCAAGTACGAGGAGCTGAACATGTTGTACGAGCAGACTAGTAGAGACCTGAAGGTGCGTGTGGCTGAGTACAACAAGGTCGCCAACGAGCTGGAACACAGCAAAGAACTCTACGAGAAGATCTCAGTTGACTTCAAGAAGATCAGTGGTGAGTGGTCAAGGTTCGTGGGTGGGTCAAGGTCAGTGGTGGGTCATCAAGGTCAGTGGTGGGTCATCTCCACACACTTCAACACTATACCTGGAGTGAGTTTCGGGCGTCAACGCCCCCGCGGCCCGGGCCATGACCAGGCCTCACGGTGGATCAGGACCTGACCAACCAGGCTGTTACTATGTGGTGAATCTTCATATATTAAATGAATAAGCATTCATTCCATTATCACCGTAATATATATATATATATATAATATATATATAATATATATATATATATATATATATATATATATATTATATATATATATATATATTTGGGGGGGGGGGGATTGGAACAGTGAATACTGGAAGACCTTCAGTCACATGACTGAACACGTCTTTAACATTACTATAACAAAAGTCAGAAATCTTCACATATCTTCCACTGACAGACTCCCTCATCCAGCACTCACATTATTATAATCAAAAAGAAGCGCTAAACCAACTAGGGTCACACGCAGTTTTTAAAGAGGCTGGAAGGAATATTTCTGGTGTTTACCTCCTCGCTTCTCTCTCATCTTCTCTTCAATGTCCACACACAATACTATCGTATTGTGATTCTTTTACAATACGATTCCCTTCACTCAGTATGGTTCAAGATTAATATCAGTAACATCACCGCCATCAAACATCTACTTATAATTCAGAGGGTTTTTACCAAGTCCTGCTTTTAATTACTCAGGCACTCACAGTTTACTGTCTCCAGGATTGCACTTTCCTTTCTGTATTTGACTGATAAATCCTGTTACGCAGGCGATAAGTCTCGTCAGTAGAGAGACCTTATTGTTACTTGTCTTGTCAGTATTGTATACAAGTTGTAATATGATATACGATGTTTCAGTGTGCTGTTAGAGTTGGTGCTTTCAGTGGCATTCCTTCAAGAGTGTTGTGGTGTATTGTTGTAGTGTTGTGTTGTGTTGTTGTGGTGTTGTGTTGTGGTGTTGGGCCACCAGGCTGAGAGTACTGATTGTCGTTTCTCTTGTGTTTGTCCCCCAGCTGAGAATGGTGACCTGAAGGGTTCAGTGGGTGACCTGAGCCGCCTCAAGCACGACCTTGAGCTGGAGATCCGTCGCTTGGAGGCCGAGAGGAACGAACTGGCCAACGCTCTTCACGAGGCCGACACTGTGAGTACCACCCAGCGCTGGATCTAGCAGAGTCTGACCTAACTTAGTCCAGCCAATACAGGGGAGTTACACTCATAGCAGGCCCATTATCGTTTACTACAGAGATAATATACAAATATGACAGTTGCAACTACGGGAGTACCAACTCGGGGCCTCCTACGAGTGAACCACTTACAGAATCTCTACCCTAACCTAACCTCACATAACAAAATAAACTCTACCCTAACTTAAGCTAACCTAATATAATTACACTCTACCCTAACTTAAGGTAACCTAATGTAATTACACTCTACCCTAACTTAAGCTAACCTAATATAATTGCACTCTACCCTAAAACACACTACCCTAACTAAGCTAACCTAATATAATTACACTCTAACTTAACCTAACTTAATATAATTACACTCTACCTTAACTTAACCTAACTTAATATAATTACACTCTACCCTAACACACTCTACCCTAACTTAACCTAACTTAATATAATTACAGTCCACCTTAAAACTGAACCTAACATAATCCACTCTGCCATAAGACCTCTAATTTTAAGTGTTAGTCTTACAAATAAAGTGTAGTAATGATGAATTTTAGGAATAACGATACAGGTTCTATGCCACTAAATTATCTTTGGTCACACAAGAATACAATACATTACAGTTGTGTGTGAATCCCATAGTGGTACCATAGAAAACACGATTCATTGTTACACCACTACCTGCTCTCTCTCTCTCTCTCTCTCTCTCTCTCTCTCTCTCTCTCTCTCTCTCTCTCTCTCTCTCTCTCTCTCTCTCTCTCTCTCTCTCTCTCTCTCTCTCTCTTCCTTTCTCTTTCTCTACCATTCGTGACCAGGAGTGTCTTTCTTCCCGCAGGCACGTAAGGAAGAGGAACACCGCTTCATTAAGATTAGCAACGAGTACCAGAGCTACAGAATAGAGATTGAGAAGAGACTACACATCCGTGAGGAGGAGCTGGAGTCTGTACGGTGAGTACCACTGCTTGTGAGAGTACCACAGCCTGTCTGTGGTGAGTACCACTGCTTGTGAGAGTACCACAGCCTGTCTGTGTGAGTACCACTGCTTGTGAGAGTGCCACAGCCTGTCTGTGGTGAGTACCACTGCTTGTGAGAGTGCCACAGCCTGTCTGTGGTGAGTACCACTGCTTGTGAGAGTACCACAGCCTGTCTGTGGTGAGTACCACTGCTTGTGAGAGTGCCACAGCCTGTCTGTGGTGAGTATCACTGCTTGTGAGAGTACCACAGCCTGTCTGTGGTGAGTACCACTGCTTGTGAGAGTGCCACAGCCTGTCTGTGGTGAGTACCACTGCTTGTGAGAGTACCACAGCCTGTCTGTGGTGAGTACCACTGCTTGTGAGAGTACCACAGCCTGTCTGTGGTGAGTACCACTGCTTGTGAGAGTGCCACAGCCTGTCTGTGGTAAGTATCACTGCTTGTGAGAGTACCACAGCCTGTCTGTGGTGAGTACCACTGCGTTGAGAGAGTACCACAGCCTGTCTGTGGTGAGTACCACTGCTTGTGAGAGTACCACAGCCTGTCTGTGGTGAGTATCACTGCTTGTGAGAGTACCACAGCCTGTCTGTGGTGAGTACCACTGCTTGTGAGAGTGCCACAGCCTGTCTGTGGTGAGTACCACTGCTTGTGAGAGTGCCACAGCCTGTCTGTGGTGAGTACCACTGCTTGTGAGAGTGCCACAGCCTGTCTGTGGTGAGTACCACTGCTTGTGAGAGTGCCACAGCCTGTCTGTGGTGAGTACCACTGCTTGTGAGAGTGCCACAGCCTGTCTGTGGTGAGTACCACTGCTTGTGAGAGTACCACAGCCTGTCTGTGGTGAGTATCACTGCTTGTGAGAGTACCACAGCCTGTCTGTGGTGAGTACCACTGCTTGTGAGAGTGCCACAGCCTGTCTGTGGTGAGTACCACTGCTTGTGAGTGCCACAGCCTGTCTGTGGTGAGTACCACTGCTTGTGAGAGTGCCACAGCCTGTCTGTGGTGAGTACCACTGCTTGTGAGAGTGCCACAGCCTGTCTTTGGTGAGTACCACTGCTTGTGAGAGTGCCACAGCCTGTCTGTGGTGAGTACTATTACTTGTGCGAGTACCACAGCCTGTCTGGTGAGTACTATTACTTGTGTGAGTACCACAGCCTGTCTGTGGTGAGTACTATTACTTGTGTGAGTACCACAGTCTGTCTGTGGTGAGTACTATTACTGTGTGAGTACCACAGCCTGTCTGTGGTGAGTACTATTACTTGTGTGAGTACCACAGCCTGTCTGTGGTGAGTACTATTACTTGTGTGAGTACCACAGCCTGTCTGTGGTGAGTACTATTACTTGTGTGAGTACCACAGCCTGTCTGTGGTGAAGTACTATTACTTGTGTGAGTACCACAGCCTGTTTGTGGTGAGTACTATTACTTGTGTGAGTACCACAGCCTGTCTGTGGTGAGTACTATTACTTGTGTGAGTACCACACACCCAGTGTATACGCACATACACCTCACGGTGTATACCGAGAGATATACGCCTCACTGTGTATGTAAACAAGTGACACTTCGGGGATACCTGACGTCACTAGTACCTGGATAACGAGGTACCAGCTACACCTACCGTGGCTGGTAAATACCGAATTTAAACTCGCCTACCTAAACCAACAATATGGGAGTTTTATGTTAAACCTCTATATATGTGGTTTTTACAAGAAGAATCTCTCTCTCTCTCTCTCTCTCTCTCTCTAAAAGTTGTGCCAGAGAAAATTGAGTGTTATGTGGCTTGAGAGAAAACAGTGAAAATTCTGGTGGTAAAGAAAACGGGGTGGTGACTAGCAGCAAGGAAAACGGAGTGGTGGTTAGCAGTAAAGAAAATGGGGTCGTGGGGCAGTAAAGAAAACGGGGTGGTGGTTGGCAACAAAGAAAATGGGATGATGTGCCAGTAGAGAAAATGGAATAATGCTTTGCAAAAGAAAACGGTGTAGTGCCTAATTGTAAAGAAAACGTAATAAACTACATTGGTTATACATGCCCAATGGTGTGTTATATACCAAGGTATATACACACATACACACCTTTGGGTATGTGTGCATATACCTTGTATATACACACACACACAAAGCTGTAGCTACCAGTGTATATATATATATATATATATATATATATATATATATATATATATATATATATAATATATACACACACACACACACACACACTGAGAGGTGTATTAATGAAGAATTCACTTAGTGTCGAGTACATACATTGCAGAGTACATTTAGTGTACTGTACAGTATTTCGTAGTGTACACTGTAAAATACACAGTGTGGAATATATACAGTGTACAGTATACTGGGAGTGGACACTGACGTGTGCAAGCAAACACCGGCCAAGTATGTTGAAATGCCATACTATATATATATACCTGCTCGCTTGTCACACCACCTACTCTTACACTCTTACTCTCTTATACTCTCAAACTCACTTATATTCACTCTCATATACGCTCTCCCCTTCCTCCCACTCTGTTATAACCACAAACACTCCCACACTCATATTCACTCACCCTTCCACTCATACTGGTCTGTTTTCTCTTAGTGATTTTGAGGATGCAGGTGGAAGAATGCAAGATTTACCCGTTATGTATTGACGAGACAAAGAAAATATTAGTAATCCTGGCACTGCAGTCTCTGAAAAGGTTACCCTCACCTCACGCGTTTGACAGGAGGGTAGTGTACCTCCCTGGGTGGTTGCTGTCAACTATCCTACTGCCGGAATAGTAGATTGGTAGACAGCAACCATCCAGGGAGGTACTACTGTTAAATCATACGAATGTGAGACAGATACCTGGACTGAACACATCGATTCCAGGTTGAGGGACTGATTACTGAAACTCCTCCTCTCCTTGCCCCTCTCTGCTTTGTATTGGACTGAAGAAGCCATTGTGTGGCCAAATGTTCCTTAGTAAAGATTCCCATATGTTGCATAAATGTCTCAATTTACGAATTTCTATTTACATTCACTCTTGCACACACACCTTATTTATATGTGCGATTCTTATAAGTTCTAGATTCTGTAATATTTCCTCTCTAGGCTAGAAGACCAGGTCTTGAGACCGAGCAGTGAGAACAATAATACCCAGACCCATCAACAGAATACGTCATTTTATCAACTTTGTAAATGGTTCAAGTCAGACCGAAACGTCGTGGTAGGCTCCTCTCTCTTGTGTGCGAGTTATTTGTGTATTGTTCCAGTCACGGTATTGTGCCTTTTTGTTCTTTATGTAAGAGAGTCTGAGGACAGGAACTTTCTAGCATAGCACTGCTGTTGTAACTACAGCTCTGAACAAGTCTTGGATGGGGTCCCAAGTCCTTCATCTCCTCTTCTACACCTGTTGCGATCTCTTTCAAAACACGAACAGTAAAGGACACAGTACTAGTGTAGGAGGATACACCTGTTGTCTTTGTTCGTCATCAACAGCTGCAACAGCCGTTTTTCTCCGAGTGTTAGAGAACACACAAATATACTTCACACTTCAGATAATATTGATGACTTCGTCTAAATATATACGTGAACAACTGAACATTTCCTGACAGTAAGGACTGCCACCAGGGCCTCAGCCGGCACTGCCAAACAGTGACGTCAAGAGACAATCAGTCAAGTGGTTGGACCACACTGCGGACACTTTCTCGCTCAAACCACTGAGTACAACCATTGAGACAATGATCAGTCTACCGTGGCTTGCCTATTCCTGTAGGTAATTGCAGGGGTCACCGCCCCCCGCGGCTTGTTCCCAGACCAACCGCTTAGCCAGTAGCTATTTTATTTACTTGTGTAAGTAGGGACCATGGGCTATGGCCCCCCCCCCTCCACACCATAGTGCCAGCGGCACTGTGCTGCACTTCCAAGTGGGTAGTGGCACTGACGTGTCCTGGGCAGTAACACTGGTGTGTCCTGGACAGTGGTACTGGTGTGTCCTGGGCAGTAGCACTGGTGTATCCTGGGCAGTAGCACTGGTGTATCCTGGGCAGTAGCACTGGTGTATCCTGGGCAGTAGCACTGGGTTGAGCGTGTTCTGGGCAGTGGTACTGGTGTGTCCTGGACAGTAGCACTGGTGTGTCCTGGGCAGCAGCGCTGGCGTGGGCGTGTCCTAGGCAATATTACTGGCATTGAGCCATAGTAACCAGTCTGGGTCAGAATTACCAAGAGTAGTGGCACTCCCTGCTGCTTCCCTAGTGTTATATGACTACATACTGTTACTGTTACATCATTACTGTTGCAGAAATCCTGTTACTGTATTACAGGAGTCCTGCTACTGTTACAGCAGTCCTGTTACTGTGTTAAGTCAGCACAAGCTTTACCATACCTCTTCTTAAAGCTATGTATGAATCCTGCCTCCGCTACATCAGTTTACTTTCTGGCAACACTGTGACTGAAGAAATACTTCCTAACATCCCTGTGATTCATCTCAGTCTTCAACTTCCAATTGTTACCCCCTGTTGCTGTGTCTCATCTCTGGAACATCCTGTCTCTGTCCACCTTGTCAATTCTTCTCAGCATTTTATACGTCACTATCATATCTCCCCTAACTCTCCTGTCCTCCAGTGTCGTCAGGTCGATTTCCCTTAACCTCTCCTCGTAGGACATACCCCCTTAGTTCTGGGACTAGTCTTGTTGCAAACCTTTGCACCGTGTGTGTGTGTGTGTGTGTGTGTGTGTGTGTGTGTGTGTGTGTGTGTGTGTGTGTGTGTGTGTGTGTGTGTGTGTGTGTGTGTCTTATCAATTTGCCTTTACTGGGGTCGAGACTTAGCTCCTGGCCCCGCATCACTGACTTCTGGCTTCTTGTGCCTGTCATATCCACTCCTGAAGCTGTATATTGATTTGCCTCTACCACCACCGCCTCATCTAACTCGCTCCACTTTTCAAGTGTTCCGTGACTAAAGAAATGCTTCCTGATATCACCATGATTCATCTGTGTCTTCAG